AGAGCGGTCAGAACAGACTTAACTTGAGATACAGCAGGGTAATAAAAATGTTTTTCTTTTTAAAATATGTCTTCCATCAAATTTCCCTCCCCATCTAAATAGGCAAAACTTGTAAAGTCATATTATGAATATTTGTTACATGTTTCAAATGCTGAGTGAAATTATTACTGTATACTTTGTTCCTTGTATGTAATTAGGGCCAGTTTACCATGAGAATTGTGACTGTCCTTTGGAAGACAGTGCAGCCTGGCTATGGGAGATGAACTGCCCAGAAACCATTACTCAAATTCAGAGAGATCTGGCACATTTCCCTACCGTTGATCCAGAAAAGATTGCAACAGAAATCCCGAAAAGATTTGGACAAAGACAGAGCTTGTGTCATTATACCTTGAAGGATAACAAGGTACAATTCATGACTGAGGGTTTCTTGCCTTAGTTATTTTTTATTTTGACCATTTGGCTACAACTAGCTACATAGTTTTATTAAAAATCATTCTGCAGATCATTGTGATAAGATTGATCTCAGTGAAGTCAATGGGCACTTTTAGACAAACAGTAAACATTTAATTCTCTTCCAGGTTTATATCAAGACTCATGGTGAACATGTAGGTTTTAGAATTTTCATGGATGCCATACTACTTTCTTTGACTAGAAAAGTAAGTATTTCTTTTCTCAGATGTATAATAGACAATTTGAGCCCAGGTTTTACACTATAATTTTTCAAAATAAAAATAATAACAATACCAGGGTTGTTCTATTCTGGACCCTTAAGTACTATATAGTATTCTGAAGTTTTATGTCAGGTAGTATACCTGTATTAGTCTCCTAGGGATGCTGTAACAAAGTACTGTAAACTGGGTGGCTAAAAACAACAGCAATTTGTTCTCCATTCTGGAGGCTAGAAGTCTGAAATCAAGGTGTTAGCAGGGCAGTGCTTCCTCTAAAACCTATAGGGGGGATCCTTTCTTGGCTCTTCCTAGTTTCTGGGGGTGCCCGGCAATCCTTGGTGTTCCCGGCAGCTGCATCACTCCTCTCTGTTGTCACATGGTGTTATCCTTG